CCTTCCTCCCTTCTCCCACCTTCCTGACACCCAATGACTGTTACTTCCATATATCCATATATGCACATAAATGTTGATCAATTAATATCAATTTAATGGTGAATACATGTGGTATTTCTTTTTCCATTCTTGTGACATGTCACTTTGAAAAATGGCCTTCAGCTCCATCCAGGATAATATAAGAGGTAGTTTGCCATTTTTTTGTGGCTGAGAAGTAGTCCATGGTATACATATGCCACATTTGATTAATCCACTCATGTATTGATGGACACTTGGGTGGATTCCACATCTTTGCAATTGGGAATTGTACTGCTATAAACATTTGAGTACAGATGTCTTTTTTATAGAATGTCTTTTTTTCCTTTGGGTAAATGCCTAGTAGTGGTATTACTGGATCAAATAGTAGTTCTACTTTTAGTTCTTTGAGGTATTTCCATACTACTTTTTATAGACGTTGTACTAGTTTGGAGTCCCACCAACATGTATGGGTGTCCCCGTGTCTCTGCATACATGTCAACATTTGTTGTTTTGGGACTTTTTGATAAAAGTCATTCTCTCTGAAGTTAAGTGATATCTCATTGTGATTTTGTTGGAATATTTTTTATTGCTGCTTTAATTCTGTTGCTTGTAATTGGTCTGTAAAGGAATTCTATTTTTTACTGATTGAGTCTCAGGAGCTGGTGTTTTTCCAGGGATTTGACCATTTCCTCAACATTTTGAGTTTATGTGCATAGAAGTTTTTATACTATTCACAGATGATATTTTGTATTTTTGTGGTATCAGTTGTAATATTTCTTTTTTCAATTTTTATTAAGTTTATTTGGTTCCTTTGTTATCTATTTCTGGTTAATCTAGTAAGTGGTCTATCAATTTTGTTTATCTTTTCAGAGAAACATCTTTGTGTTTCATGAATCTTTTGTATTTTTTGTTTTTGTTTTTTATTTCATTTAATTCTGCTCTGACCTTAGTTATTTATTATTTTCTGCTGGGTTTGAGTTTGGTTTGCTCTTTCTTTTCTAGGTCCTTGAGATGATTCATTAGATTGCCGATTTGTGATCTTTCTGTCTTTTTGATGTAGATGTTTAAGACTGTGAATTTTCCCCCTTAGGACTGCTTTTGCTGAATTCCACAGATTGTGATAATATTTGTCCCCTTTGTCATTTAGTTCAAAGGATCTTTTGATTTCTACCTTAATTTCCTATTTGACCCAATAACCATTCAGCAGTAAGTTATTTTATTTCCATTACTTTGTGTATAATTGAGTATCAGTGTTGGAGTTGATTTATGATTTTATTCCACTATCATCTGAGAAGATGTATGATTTCATTTATATATTTTTTTGAATTTGTTGAGACATGTTTTGTGGCCTAAGATGTGATCAATCTTAGAGAATGTTTCATGTGTTGATGAGATGAATATATATTCAGTAATTTGGGGCTAGAATGTTCTATAAATGTCTGTTTGGCCCATTTTTCCTGGAGTCCTGTTTAATTCCAGTTTTTTCTTTATTTATTGTCTGCTTGGATAATCTGTCCAATTCTTTCAGTGGGCTGCTGAAATCTATGGCAATTACAATGTTGTTTATCCCTTTGTTTAGTTCCAGTAGGGTTTGCTTTATTTATCTGGTGTACCTGTGTTAGATACATAAATATTTAGGATTCTTATGACTTCTTTATGAGCTGCTCCCTTTACCATTATATGACCATCTTTGTCTTTCCTTACTATTGTTGATATGAGGTCTACAGTATTCAATATGAGAATGGCTATACCTGCTTTTTTTGGTTTCCATTTGCATTGAATATTGTTTTCCATCCCTTCACCTTGAGTGTAAATGAGTCCTGGTAGGTTAGATGTGTTTCCTGGAGACAGCAAATACTTGATTTGTATTTTTTTTTTTAATCCATTCAGACACCCTATATCTCTTGAGTGGGGAATTCAAGTTGTTCACATTTATTGAGGCAATTGATCAGTGGGATGCATTTCTGTTCATCTTGTTGAGTAGAACCTTATTGCTTCGTTTTACCTCATGAGCCATTATATTATATGAGCTTTGAGCTGTAGCTTTTGGGTGATTTTACCCTGGTGGGTTTCTATTGTGCTGATTGGTATATAATACAGATCTCAACTCAGTACTTCCTGCAGGGCAGGTCTGGTCTTCAGAAATTTCCTCAGTGTTTGCCTGTCTGAAAAAGTCTCTGTTTCTCCCTCATATAAAAAACTTAGTTTTGTAGGATACAAAATGTCAGGCTGACCACTATTTTGTATAAGAAGACTGAAGAGAGGACCCCAATCTCTTCTGGTTTATAAGATCTCAGTTAAGAAGTCTGCAGTTAGCCTGATGGGTTTTCCTTTGTAAGTTACCTGGTGTTTTACAACTGGTGGGAGTTCCTCCTTTGTGTTAATTTTGGCTAGTCTGATGACAATTTGTCTTGGTGATTGACTCTTTATATTGAATCTCCGAGGTGTTATTTGAGCTTCTTATACCTGGATATCTAAATTTCTAGCAAGGCCAAGGAAGTTTTCCTCAATGATTCCCTCAAATATGTTTTCAAACTCTTGCGTGTTTTATTCTTCACCTTCAGGGATGCCTATAATTCTTATGTTTTGTCTCTTTACATAATCCCATATTTCTTATAGTCTCACTTTTTCCTCTTAATTTTCTGTTTTTATCTTTGACTAACTAGTTTAATTTGAAAGGATTGTTTTCAAGCTCTGATATTCTTTCTTCTGCATGGTCTAGTTTATTCTTAAGGCTTTCCACTGTGATTTATATTTTGTTAAATGACTTTTCCATTTCCAGAAGTTCTATATGATTTTTTAAATAATTTGATCTCTTTAGTGAATTTTTCTTTCATTTCCTGAATTTTTGTGTTTGTGGTTTCTTTGCATTGGTTTTCCATTTTCTCTTGTATTTTATTGAGCTTAGTTATAATCCATATTTGAAATTCTTTATCTGTCATTTCAATATTCTGATTTTGGTTGGAATCCATTGATAGAGAACTGATGTTCACTTTTGGGGGTGACCTTTAGCTCTGATTCTTCATTCTTCTGGAGTTCTTTCACTGATTCTTTCTCATCTAGAGCAGCTGCTGCTTCTTATTTTGGGGTTTTCTTTTGCTTACACAGGGCTTTTGTTCCTTTCCCTCACTCATATGGGTTTGTTTGTAGCACATATTGGGTAAGGATATTTCTTGGTACTTTGATGGTGATCTAGGTTCTGAATGTATGCCTTGGTCATAGATATCCTTAGTGTGGTAATTTCCTCAGTTGCTTGTAGACTGTAGGAGTGGTGAGCTATGTGTGTGGGCAGATTCCTTGTCTCTCTTTAATGAGGGAGGAGGGAGGTCTTTGAAATCCTTTCTTTCCCCAGCCCTGTGGTCTTTTAAAAAGTGTAAATGGTAATACCACACCCAGTTTAATCTCTGAGACAGTATATGGTGCTTGAGGGCAAGAATGTACCACACTCTGTACAATTGAGTCAATAAATTCCTTAAAAGGTGTGCAAGTTGACCTCCCTGTCAGTAGGTGGCACTTGCCAGATGGAACAAGCTGAAGTGTTGTTTTGGGGTCCTGTGACCATCTCTGGTCCCTCAGAAGAATCACTTGAATGCCCCACACATGGTTGGGTGGGCCCTGGAACTTCAACTTCATGCTTATTCTCTGCCACAGCAGAAGCAGGTGGGGAGTAAGGCTGGATGAGGCTGGGTTGAGTGAGCTTACACAAGGCACCACAAAAACTGGGAAAATATCTGTTTCAGCAGGAGCCCAAAGTCTGCTTCCAGTTTCCGGGCAAAGCCACCAAGAGGGGCTGAAGTGGACCTACCCAACCAGAAAATCTGCTCACACAGGTAGGGCCATCTGAGAATCACAGTCTGGTAGTCTGGAGAAGGCTTCACTCCTCTCCACCCTTCCTGCTCCATGGTTTCCCCCAGCATCTGCCAGCAGGCAGAAGCTCAAACAAGCTGAGATCCCCCACAACTATGATGTATGCCAGGATGTTCCCTGCCCAGTATATTGGCCTGAGCTGAGAGCATGGCCCTCCTGTGGAGGTAGGGGGTGCCCCATGAGCATGCTGTAGCTAGACCCCACTGCACTCTCCCCATGATCTGCTCATGTAGGCTCCTTTGCTTCCTAAGACTAATTCACAAATCTCCCCTCCATGGCCCTTAGCAATCACCCCTCCATGGCCCTGAGCAATGTGATTGAGACTAGGGGTACTGGATCTGGCCTGCTGGCCTATCCTTAGGTCCCCAAATATCAATCCCTGATCATGCCAGGGAGAATCATGCTGGTTCTGAGTTGCCCAGGTAATGCCCAAGCAGGTTTGATAACCCTCTGTCTTGGAGCATGTCCTGCTCTGATGGAATTGTGGGAGAAGCAGCACCAGAGAGGACTAGTAGGCAGGGAGTTCACAGTCCAAGCACACCTCCATCCACTGCAGGACCCCCAAAGAAAAAGTCTGAGCCCCATTCTCTGTGGAAGCCTTGGTGTTTTGGCTCAATTGTCTCCTTTGGCAGCCATGGTTGAGGGAGGGGCAGGGAGAAAATGAATCTGGATGGAGGAATTCTAGCACTCTGGTCATGACTGTCCATCACTCTGGGAGGTTGCCCACCCAGAACATCCAGGCACTGGAATCATGCAGATTACCCGGCACCCTCTGGACCCCTGTGGCTGCTGCAGTCTGGGTCAGATTTGGGAATTATCTGTGTGGGAATTAATAAGATGAAACCTGAAAAGTTGAAGCCCCCTGGAGAGCACAAAGGTGCACAGTGGGTAGAGAAACAATATGGTGCCTACCATCCCAGCTCAGGTCTAAGGAGACGGGAAGCATCACAGAGGAGCTAGAAGCCCAGTGCCCTGTCCACGGTAAACTCCCAGCTCACTGGCAACAGCAGTGGGCTGTTGGACTGGGCTCTGTGGACAGAAACTCTATCCAGCAGCTCAAGATTCCACCAACTATCAGAGATGAGAGGGAGGAAGTAACAAATCACTCCACCTACCTTTCTCACTGGTCTCCAAGCTCCTCAGGGTTTGAGCTCTTCTGATATCTTGCTTTTTCCTGCTCTGCTCTGCTCTGCAAATTCTTCCCATGGAGTCTCCCGAAGGTTCTGGTACCCTTCCCTCAAACCCACACCCAATCTGTTCGCCTGTTTGTTCGTTTTTTTCTCTTACATCTAAAATTTCTCCTTCTTACTGAGATGCTGTGGCAGCTGGTGACTCTGGTCAGCCATCTTCACAAAATCAAAATCACAATTTAAACCATGGATGTTGTATGAATACTTTTAAGGATGCAACTTGATTTTTCTGGAAATAAAACCACACAAAAATAACTACTTTATGGCAGTTTGGAATTTATCACCTAAACATATAAGTTCATACCTTTCCAGTGTATTGATCTTTATTTTGCAAATGTTTCAGCAGCATTTACTATCATTGAAATAGTGGCAACATGTTCTACTTAAGATCAAACAATCTCCTGAAATCTGGCAAGGTTTAACAGAAATTTAAAACAATACTTTCCAGGGAAAATGCTAACCATCTGCAACTGTTATTATTAACACTATTCTTTTATTTTTTCTTCCTATATTATTTACACTTCCTGTTGCTCTCAAAGCTTTCAATCTATCATTAGCAATTAATTGTAAACAAATGGTTGAAGAGGATGTTTGTATCTATGGGGTTTTTTTTCCCCTAAGTCAAACAAATACAGGATCTTGTTTTAATCACGTGAATGTCCTGTTCACACACAAGTCTACCTGAGCTCTGCTAAGAAAAATCTGTGACAGAACACAACTTTCAGAAAGAAAAAATGTCATCCAAATAGTGTTCTTGGTGTCCTTGCAGCAGTTGGACAAACTTTCTAAAAAAGGAAAAAGAGTGAAACATATTAATAAGGGAGGGCTACTTTAACAGTTTGTTGGTGTTATTTAAAGTAGAAAACATGTACTTACATACATTTGCACATAAAGAAAAATGGAAACATCAGAACATACTGTGTTGTTTTGTGTTACCTTGTCCTAAGTACTTATGTCCAGTTATATTAAAGGAAGTTGTTTTATACCAAATTATGGCCCCTTTCTTTTAGTCCTTGTTGTAACCACCAGGGTAGATCATCCAATGCCACCCACTTGTATCTCTGCCAGAGCGAGTGCACAGTTACTTGTTCAGTTTTGCAGGAGATGCCTCTTTGATGTTGCTCAGCCACCATTTCCTTTCCATTCGCTTTTATCTCCGTCCTGGCACTCATTCCTGCAGCATCCTCTTCTCCAGATGGTCTCCATCTCCCCTTTAGAAGTGCCCAAAATATTCCAGCTTCCTCCTCTTGATCTTTTCCCATCGACAGCCACGTTATCCCTCAGCATTTTAATACCACCAACCTAGTCCTATTCTGTTTTCTTCACAGATTGTTTTTATGGGAGAAAACAACTACAAGGTAAGATCACAACATTCTCGGCAAACATTGCTGTATTATTAATCATACTTCTCAACTATTTTCTGGAAATGCTCTTTAAGTGCCTTGATTGCCCAACATGTATTAAATAACTATTATTTATCAGGGAGGGCATTTAGCACCAGGGATTCAGATAGAAGTAAAACGTGTCTGATGACAGGAGATAAATGAATTCTGGATAAGCTTGGGTGGAAGAGGCACTGGAAACCCAAGAAAAAAGCAATCATTTGTGCTTATGGGTAGTATTATAAAAAGGTTCATGCAGTTGGGTCTTCAAGATGAATAGGAGTTCATCAGGCTGTGTTCATGGATAAAGAACATCTTAGGTCAAGGAAACAGTGCAGAGATAGAGATATAAACCAAGATTCCCAATGCTTGGAGAATTATAAGTATTGTGTATGCTTGTGGTGATGCTTCTATGGGCAGGGGGGGAAAGTCCTATAGATAAATTTGGAGAAGTAGGTAGGGAGAGAAAAGGATTGGACTTTCCTGGGAGACAACAGGAAACATTAAAAAGTTTTAAATAGGGAAAATACCTGATCAAATCTGTAGTTTTAAATAATTTCTTTGACTGCATTCTGATAATTGGTGGAAGTTGGGGGGAAAATGTACAGGAAAAGCTGATTTAAAAAACAATATAATAGTTTCAGTGAGAAGTGATGAAAATCTAAACTAAAGCAATATCGATAGGTTAAGAAAGGGAAAAGGGTAAATTCCAAGATTTGGAATAGATTAGTAACCAGTCACTGAGTTAGGCATGTAATATGGAGAAAAAAAGTTTGAGAAACATATAGATATCCAACTTGGAAAGTTGGGGAAGAGATACTATTGGTTCTGTTTTAAACATGTCAATACTGAAGTGCCAGTGTAATATCTGAGTGGAGTTGGACAGAAGGCAAATAAAATTTAGTAACAGTAAATTGACAACACATAATGATTTGAGAAATATAAGTAACCTGATGGTTATGGAACTTAAGTGCATGAATCAGGAGCCTGGGAGAGATTATAGAGGCCAAGCTTCAAATCCCAGAAAACACCAATGACTCATATTTACTGAACATTGAGGAGCCAGCAAAGAATATTGAGAATGATGGAGAACAAACTTCAAGAAGGTAGAATATAATTGACAAGGTCAAATACCACTGAAAAATGTTTTTTAAAAATGAGTAGTGACTGTTGATTGATAATTAGAAAAATAAGGAAGGTAAGTAAAGCAGCACTATAAAATATTAGCTTTGTATTTAAAGAGAAAGAGTGAAAGAAGATGATGATTAGTGTGGGTCAATTATTTTTTACATCAGAATAAAATTTAACATATCAGTAATGGAAGGAATCAGTAGAATTTAATGAAGGACAAGAGCATATAAAATAATTAGCAATCACCTGGGTATTATGATAGAAAAGCATAGAACTATGGGAGCGTTGTTAGGATAACCACTTTCATTCATCCTTCCATAAATACAAGGTCAGTAATGTTTTAACTCATATTTACTGGATAATAACTTTTAGGTTATATTCTATTTGCACAGAAATAAAAAACATGAATAACAATATTTTATGAATTTATTATTGAAAGATCCACCACAGTGCCTGAATTACCTATTTTCTGAAACAAAGTGAATCATGGAGTGTTAGAACAGAAAGATACACAAGAAATACTGTGATTAAGTCCCCTCATTCTATTAGATGAAGAAAGCTAAAGCCCTGAAGTGGCTTCTCAATGCACAAAAGTCAATCAGAACATCAGGGGCAGAGATAGAGTACATTTGTACTGCAGTCGGTTTATTGTCATTCCTTGTTGCTTCACTCTTTCTACAGCTAAGTTTTAGGCATCAAACGTAGCTATAAGAAGGAAATTTGTTGTGATTTGGATTTATCTCAGGATCCCTGATAACAGACACTGTTTTTGCTAGTATGTATCACTGTATCCTATTTACATAGATACTTTTCAGAAGACCAAGTTGTAACTAGATTAAGTTACATTATTCAATGAGTATTATATATGTATGACCTGTCATAAGAAGTAGTTGTAACAATTTTCTTATTTCCCCTGCAGAAATACAGAAATATATTTGGAATGCATTCTTTCACTAATAATAGTGTAAGGAAGACACAAGTTAGATTTCACTGTTGTTTTTGCTGTTATTGCTTTTCCAGTGGTGGGAGCAGGAGTTGAAAAAAAATCTTAAATTTAACTTTCCTTCTTAACTAAACAAAAACAAAGCTTTAGTTTTCAGCCTCAATTCACGTTAAATCTTTTACCCTAGTCCCACTGGCACTGTCACTTCAAAATCGCAGCATAATGCAGTAGGCTGTTTCCCAATGTCAGTAAAACAAAAGCTTTATTGAACAAATATGTGTGAAAATGCTGCAAACAAAAAACATCTCCACAGGCAGCACGTGATTGGCTCACAGCAACACTCTCCATTGTCAGCAAGTAACTTCCTAGCATATCAGGCTAATGTTCCTTTTAAAGTTGTTTGTCTTTTTTAAAAGAAGGAATCAAACAAAGAAAATTAGGGTAAATGTCTTCCTTGCCAAACCTGAGAATAAACTGCACTTCTCACTCATAAGAAGACAGTAACATAGAATACAAAGAAAAATATATGCAGGATACCTCTCCTTTCACTCTGCACACTATTTTTTAATATAATTTTTGAAGGCGTTTCCACCCTTTATAAAATCTCCAGGTGCCAGTGTGATCATTTTACTTTTAACTAAAAACAAACACAGTTGCATCTGTTTAACTACATTTTTTTTTTTATGAACACTCAGTCTCTACCTACTGGAGAATTATAGACTTCTCTCCTTTGTTCCCCACCCTTATATCTCAGCACTTTGCCATATCCTATAGCTAAAAATTAACTGCAGTAATACAAAACTCAGCACCACTGTGATAGCAAAGTCAGAGCTAACACAAAGATGCTACGGTTTCTGTAATTCCCTATTTTCTCTAATTTTTCCTCTGCTTATAGAGCAGACACCTGTGTAAGTGTTTAGTGCACTAAAGTCTGGAATCTCAACCTAAGTAGCTGTGCCAGCAGCCAAGCTGCTGCCTTGTACATTCAATCAGAGTTACCTATAACTGCCTCCATGCTGATGTTGCCAGCAAAACTGTCCGTGGAGTTCCACATAAGCTCAGTTTGGCTTTCTGTCTTTCAGGTTCTATGTTTCATAACTTTGCTACAACCTCATATTTCAAATTACTTGAAAAGCAGCTTCAAAATCATCTAAGTGAGAAATAATCTAATATAAATGAACACATTTTCCTCCAGCGAGTTATCTAACAAGAATTCTAAATTGCAAAAGCTAACTTTCTAAAGGTTACAGTAAAAGTGCTTCATGTATGGTTATTTCCAACTCATTAAACATCCTTAGAAAAATATACAAAGTGCCTTCAAAGTAATGGCTTAAAAGGATCCATTCAGGCTTTTGAGGTAAGAGCAAAAGAGGTGGGCTACTATGAAAAGTGGGAAAAGCTAAGTGCTATTAACTGTGATCAGGTGTTTAATCTACAAGAGATAATACACTCCCAAAAATGTAGACTTGGCTATAAATTTTATTTAGAATTTATAGGATGTACACTCACATTTATTCATTTATTCAGCCAACATTTATTCTTTCAATAATTATTTACTGAGCATCTATAATGTGCTAGTCACTAAGCAGGGAGCTGGAAACAAAAAA